TCTTTTGCCTTAAGAGCTGTATTCTCATGTATGATTGCACCAATTTCCTAGTTTTCGAGTCCAACATAGTGAAATGAGGGTGGCTCAAGACTATTGCACAGCACTCTAGTTTCCTTATTGCTTTACTGTTTATTCTCATTCATGCTTATTTACATTCTGTTCCAGAAATAAGCAGCTGTATGAGACAATGTTAAGAGAAACCCGTATTCCCATCACAAAGATAAGGTACAGTACTTCTTTTAACTCGTCAGTCTGAAGGTAGTAACTGTACATGCAATAAAAACTCTGTGTGTTGGCATTTAACTCATACAGAGACCAGACACCCGTTTGATATTTTATTTTAGTGTTTGTCTTTTAGCCAACAAACTGGGCGTAACAGAATAGACTCTTGTGTTCTCTGCCTCCACTCATGCAGTTCATTTCTTTATTGACTTTGCATTATGGCTTTATGTTTCCCTGATACTGTTACAGTAAAGTGAAGGAAAATCTAATTGAGTGCTCGGATCCTTTCTCTCTCAGGGTGGACGGTGGTGTTTCCTCCAATGACTTCGTCATGCAGCTGACCTCAGACTTGTTTGGTAAAAAGATAGCCAGACCCCAGCACATTGAGATGTCATGTCTCGGGGCTGCTTTTGTCGCTGGACTTGAAGTCGGTATGGAAATAAATATTTAAACAGAACAAATATTTGCACTGTAGTCGAGTGTTTTGAAGGAGCATTTGATTCGCGGCCGTGTGAAGATAAGATGTCTTAGAAATGACGTTGAGCACAAACGGAGTGATCTATCATGCTCTGACACTCTGGTCTTACTTTCACTGTGGTTTTTCTCTAAAAATATTACAGCTCCTGACAGGCCCATTTGAAAAGTTTTGATCAAAAGTCCTATTTTTATTCCTGCTGACTCTGGCAGGAGAGGCAAAAAGCCTTGCTGTTTGTTACATAACCTGTTTTCCATTTAATTATTCACATTATGTAATTAGATTGTTATATATTAGTCAGCATTTAATCAAATCAACCAGAAAATATGGCTGATTTGTTGCGGCTGTTTCATAACAGGCCAGAAGCAGGTGGTGCTGACGACTGAAAAATAAAATGAATCATGAGGAACCAGGCTTTTAAGTGGATCAGTCCACAGTGATGTAGATAATTAGATCATTTGTCCAGCATTTATTGCTCTTTTTGCACCACAGCGTACCTTGTGCGGTGCTAGATTCTGCATTTATATTTGTGTCGGTGTTGTACGCAGGTTTCTGGAGGACGCGTGAGGAGCTGAAAAAGCTGCAGAGTGCAGACGATGAGTTTTTGCCCCGATGTGCAGACAAGGAGTGCACCGGCAGCCCAAACGGGGAGTACGTCCCCATCCTCCAGAGCTGGGAGAGAGCTCTGCGGCGCTCCATGAATTGGTACAACAAGCCTTGACACTTGAAGCACACGCACGGAGAGTCCATGGGGTGACCATGAAGGATGGAGATGTCAGATCTGATGACATTTGAAAGTAGACCGATGATTTTTGTTAAATTTTTTTTTAAAGAAAAATTACTGTTTACAAAATAACAACCATTAGCTGTGAGTCAAATTTTAACGGGAAAAAATAAATCCTGGGCTACTTATGTAAGGAAAACATCGTTGCCAACAGTTACTTAGTCGTCCTAGGGAACATGACAGCAGATTTTTTTATTTTTCCCGAGATCTGTTTTCACTGCCACTTGTTTGTCTGCAAGTTTGCACATAATCTACCTAGCTTAGTTTTTTGAAACTTGTTGAAGAGTTGTAGCACAGTTAAGGAAGGAAACCATTCTGGACCACAGCAGGGCATTGATCTTGTCATAGGATACACTCTCCAAGTGCCCCTCTAATGTAAAGCTAAAGGACAAATGCACTGACATGATGCTGCAGCACTGATTAATACAGTTGAAGGCACGCTTGTACTAACTTCACACAGCAGTGCAGGTCAGATCCAAGCCAAAGGATTCCCCAGCCACAGCCTTGAATTGCTCTCCACAAACAGGAGTTGCTGTTCCCTGACTTGATTTCCTCTTCTTGCACACAGCAGCTGGTTTACAAGCACATTTCATTCATTCCAGGATGGACGTCACTGGTGCTGCTTCATATTTCAGTCGGTATTTTTTTTTTTTTCCGCAGCGGAAATAAGATTTTTACATTTTCCCACATGGGGGTGCTGACGACCACCTTTTACAGCTTTTTAAAAATCATGAGGTCGCCATAGCAACCGCATGCCAAATGTTCATCAGCAGCTATAGAGTTAAAAGCGTTCATCCCAGATTCACACATGAGCCTCTGTTCATGACACCTCAGACTGCACAAAAGGAAGCCCAGATCCGATATGTGCAGCTTAATGTTTCACTTTTGTAGCAGCTGCCTCTCAATTTTAAATGTTGACCTCGTAAAGTCATACATGATGCCTTTTTTTTCTTTTTTTTTAAATTAATTACTGTGTGATCAACAAATTATATTCAGTGGCTGTATTCAGAGATTTAAATATGACTAGAACAAAAAACGAATTGTATGTGTTTGTTTTTCTGTATGTGGGAATTTGACTGGAGTTAAGTGTTTAATGTTAATTCTGTGCTTCCAATTAGTCGATTATATACCTCTCGATTGGCAACAAGAGCTGGAAAAAGTATTAGATTTAACTGTAATAAACACAAAAATGTCTAATTTTGTACTGTTTGATGCTTTGATCTGTTATTTTGTTGCTGTGAGTGAGGTCATAAGGGGTTCAAACCAGTCCATGTCTCATGATTATTCTTTGTTAGTGTGGAGTACAACCATGGGGATGTCATATGATAATGTTTTGACTCGAGTCTTGATCTCGACTTGATGAACTCTGATGACATAGTTTAAAATTCTGATCGCATTATGATGAAGCCCAAATGACTAACTAGATCTAAACTGTGAATGTCTTTCCTGACTTGTTCTGCTCCCCCGTGTGATGATCTCTTCTCTTGCAAAGTGTAATACTGTGCCTAACCCTAAAGTTAACCCCAGTTCACGTGTGTGACATCACTTGTACTTCATTCAGTTTCTGAATGGCACGTGTCATTCCAACATGCTAGGGCCTAGCAGATGAATACAATGTGTGTAATTGTAAAAAGATTTGGATGAGAAGCTCTAGCATTTTTGTTGCTGGGGAGGGGCTTCTATTAAAAACCTGAATTATCAGCTGTTGTGGTCGTGGTGATTTGGGTGCCTTGCGCACTCAAGCTGCACAGGTGTCTGTGACACACGGTGAGTGAGTGAGCAGATGCTGCCCGAAAGTGTTTACCTCCACAAGGACTCTGGGGAAATGCTGCTGCCTCATGCCTGAGATTGGGGGGGTTATCAGAAATGCAGGCTGCCGGATGAGTCTGGGGATTGAGTCCCATTGATGTGGGCAACCTCGCTGTGAGGGTTGCTATGGCAGCTTGGGGATGGAGTGACTGAGAGAACAAATGGAGTGTGTGTGTGTGTGCTCATGGTGCTGGTATGGCGAAGGGGGTGCTAATTGAGTGAGCACAAGGGGGATTTCCTAAACAATGGGAGGATTGTGTGTGTATGTGTGTGTTTGCCAGGAGGAAGAGCAGTCGTGAGTTTTTGTGTACATCATGCGGATCCATGGTCTGCATAACACCACAGCACTACAAATGCTTCTTCTACTGTAACTCGAGCTCAGCTTTCTCACTCAATTCTTATAATTTAATTGCCACTGTGCTTTTCTTGCAATCGAATGTGTGTGTGTGTGTGACAGAGGACTTGCATCAATCAGTGCTGCTGGTGGCTCTCACGCTAATCAGTAAAGTAAGTGTGTGTGTGTGTGTGTGTGTGTGTGTGTGTGTGTGTTGTGCCTGAAATCCTGGTGCACCCTTTGCCTTGTAACAAATTCAAGCTGACAGCAGGAACTGTATGTAGTGCGACCACTACTCTAGTCCCCCTCCCCCCACGTGAACTGAACCCTGCATCAAGGGTCATTATATAACTCCCTTTTTCTCTCCCTCCCTGTGACACACTGGGAGTGTTCAGCAGAGTGTGTGTGTGTGTGTGGGGAGGGGGGGCTGGAAGTTAAGCTTTCGGATTTTTGTTTGAGCCCCACTTCTCCCCTTATGCACAGGCATCTAACCTCCTTTCAGTCATCTTCTAGCAAAGCACGGACTCCCACAGGGCGCGAGGATTTTCCTTTTAATGACACAGAGACTGGTTGATATGGAACGCCAGGACTGCCATAATGAATTAATTAAATACACCATTAAATAATTAATTAAATGTGTCAATAATTAATT